GGCCCAGTACCCAGTTCTTTGAGAATGGGCTACAGTATTGTTTATGACCCCCAGGTAATTCAGAAATTGGCATGTAGAGAAAACCAATTGATAGCAACAACTTTGCCACCTGCCGTAGTAGTAGAATCAGCAATAATAGTGTCAAATACTAACAGGATATTGACAAACCCTAAAAATCAATAATGTACCACCCTTACCCATAGAAAAGAGATCTATGATTGTAATAGAAACACCAAAACCAGATACTGACTTACAGTAAATATCTACTCAGTGGAACAACTTTATCTCCACTAACAATAGAACAGTGTTCAAATATAGTAAGATACAGTTAACCATCTAAAGATTTATAAACCCTAATGGCTATACTAGTAAGGATAGAGGCTGTAGGAATGGGATCATGAAAAAGTAGAATTTGAAAAATTAAGCAATGGAAGATAAAAAGATGATAAACGTGAAACAAAGGAGCCTATTAAGGAGTAGAGGGAAAATAGTTGTATTAGATAAAAGTAACAGAAAAAAGGAAAAAGAAATAAAAAATTAAAAGAAACAAAATATTGAGGGAACAAATTAAAAGAGAAAAGGAAAGACTAAATCAAACAAATATGATAATGAAAAAGAAGGAAAAGAAAAAAATAGAGGAGAATAAAATGGGTCAAAAGAAAAAAATTATCCTTTGTGTTTCCAGTTGAGTGGTTTCCTTTCAGGATCTACAGTCTTTTGTGTTTTGTTTTGATTTGTTGTTTGTTTTGGTGTTTTGAGAGGTCTTGCTATGAGATTCAGGCTGGTTTTATGAATTCACTATGTAGCCCAGGCTGGCCTTGAACTCAGAGCAGTACTCCTGCCTCAGCCTCCCAAGTGCTGGGATTACAGATGTGTGATCCCATGCCCAGTTCCCACAATCTAGCAAGTCACAATCCTCTCCACCCCACTTTATAGCCTGTGGGTTTGTGAAGTGACCCATCTGCTTATGAGCCCCCCCCCCCAGCAGCACAGCACCTGCCTGGCACATGTGAGGTCATGAGTTTGATCCCTGGTACTGAAAAAAAAAAAAAAAGGTGCCTTGTAGGGAACAGGGAAAGGGGACGTTACTAGAACCTCTGCAGTAAGTCCTAGTCTCTTGTGAGCCATGGCAGCACAAGGCAAATTACAGGAAAGGTAGACAAATGAGACTGAGAAGAAGTTGAGCTTTGGGTCTGATCAGTGCTGTTCTGGGTGGCAAAGACGAAAGCCCCCAGCTTACCGTACATCGGGAGAAACAAATGTAACAAATGACTTCCAGAGAGTTCAGTACATCTGGTTAAACAAGATGTAACGTCCAAGAACATTGAGGAACTGAATAGATATTTGTTCCTCCCAGGATGTTTTCAGCTCCCAGGATGTTTCTTGTCCTGGAGAATCACAGCATCACCGGATCTTTGAGGTCTCAGTTGTGACCGGAGGCCAAAATGGAATTATGTCTGGGAATTCCATAGCTGGGCTGTAGGCAGGAGAACTAGGCTAACCAAATGATTTTACCCTAAAATTATGTAGCATTGCTCCCAACAGTGTCTGCCCCACCCACACCCTCACTTCAGACTGTGGCAACTGTCCAAATCAAGACAATCTGCTTGTGTTGGTACTTGGGAAGCAATAAGACTATACTGGTCTCCACTGGATGTAGCAGAGGGATGGTGGCTCAGGCACACTACTGGACTGAATACCATCACCTTCACATCCCGCCACCTCTGAAAAATCTCACTGCCGAACCTGGCCTCCCACTGTGGGCTGCAAGCCCCATGTCCTTCCTGGCCCGAGCTTAAACTTTTGAGGGAATCAATGTCTAGTCCTTACTTTCTGTCTGTTTCCAGTGGCTGTCTCTCACCTAATCACTGTGGTAGAGTAACACTTCAGTCCTGGAGTAAAGCTGTAGCACAGTTGTTGTAAGGCAATCAGCCCATTCCCATGAAGGTGCCTGATTAAACACTCTGGCAATATGGCAGGTGCTGCACTGGATTTCTTCTCAAACTCTGTCCCCTCATAAACTCACTTTTGGGATAAAACTCCACATAGATTTTTAGTTTATACCAGCTGTAGGCTTCGCTTGTGTCCATTATTTCTCCCTGAGTGGCTGACTTTTCAGGGTTTACTGCTTCTTCAGGGTGTTGGCCTTGTCCTTGATTGGGTTGTTAGGTAGACACCTGTGTGGGCCCGTGCTGAGGGGAACCAAGGTACAAAGACAGGAGTTGAAGGTTTGATACCACCATTGGGTGAGGTCATCTTCCTTGTGCCATGTCAGCTGCCCCCCCCCACCCCCCCGTGTTTTTAAAGGGCCTTTTTACAAATTTTTTTCAATTTGTAAGTAGAGATGACCAGTATATTCTCGGATTGTTTTCTTGTTTGTCAGTAATCCACACCCTATATATGTAGAATCATCTAAGCATCCATTTGGAAACCAATTTGAGTGCTAAGAAAGGAGGAAAGCTTACTCAGCTTCCCCGTAGGGTTCTACTCTGTATGTTCAGCAACACTCCAGAACTGCTATTCTGTTTCCTTCACCAAATTAGGCATCTGTTCTAAATGAATACAACTAAACAGCTAAATGAATAATCCATATTTATTTTTTATATGAATGCCCTAAATAGTATTAATTTCTCTGGAATTGACTAAATGTTTTATTTTCTTTATTCTCTACTATGAAGTCTAATAAAAGTGTTGTGTTTATCTTTCCTGCCTCCTGGTGCTAGCTGTTTTTCTTCCTGATATACAGAACATCAGCCCTCCTCTTCATTTTATCAAGTTCTATTAATCTTTTGAGACCCAACTGAAATCCATCTCTTTCTTGACATTTTTTATTTACTAAACTCTTATGACCTGTAATCTTATACTCATTTCATAATTTTTCTCTTACTTGGACTTTTGTGGTATTTTGTTTCACCACCCCAATAATGAGGACTAAACCCCCAGGGCTTTCACACTGAGCCACATTGCTAACCTTTTTTTCTTTCTTTTTTTTAAATTTTGACACAGGGTCTAAGTTGCTCAGGCTGGACTAGAATTTGCTATATTAATGCCTTAGCCTCCCAGAGACCTGTGCCACCAGGCCTGGGTGGTACTTCTGCTTTGAACCATTTTAGTGTTTATTTGTAGAATGTTCTGTTCCTAACTTGTTCCATTTCCCACATGGAGTTGTATAAGCTGCTTGAGAACCCCAAACTCATGATTTGTTCTTTCACTTCTTCTTCTTCTTTTTTTTTAATGGCAGTGGGTTCTTACTGTATGGCCTGGGTTGGTCTCAAACTCATAGGCTCAAATGATCCTCCCACCTCAGTCTCCCGAGTAAGTGGGGTTTACTTTTTCAGTTCATTGTCAGTGACTTTTTTCCAACTTTACTTTAGCTGTCCATTCTCATAGTCATACCCTGGGCCTTGTCTGCATTTGAAATTGTTCCTCCCCCAGAGCACTGCACATTTCACTTTGACCATAACTTCTGATACTTTCTAGCTTACTTCCTCAAGTACCCACACAGCTCCTATCATCTGACGTCATTGGAATTTCCAGTTCCTCCTTCCACTCTTCACCCCTCTCCTGTCTTCACTTCCCTCCTGTTCTAGCATAGATTTTGTGATCTGTCATTCTAGTTGGTTTCTTGCATGCACAGTAAACTCTTGTGCCTACTTTGTGATAGTATTCTCTCTGCCAAAATGTTAACCTTGAGCAAAACCTTTATTCTGCCTTCTTAGTGCCTGTAACCAAGCAGTTGAGCATTTGTGAGAAGATTGCAGAAGAAAATTGACACTCCTCTTAAGTTCACATTCGCTGTCTTCAGTTGGTTTCACAGTATTTCTTGAATTTTTACAATGATTTTTACAAGCCCATTCCTTATTTTTAAATCTATGATTTTCAAACACACTCATCTTTTCATTCTTAAGTTTTCTTGAGTGATCTTGCCTTCTACTGTATAAAAGTATAACTCCTACCTTCTCTATCACCTTGACAAACGTGTCAGCCTATTACCTTCAATTGTTAAAAGGTTTAATATTTATTGAACCAAGTGCTCAGTGGGAATAAATGTTTTTCCCTTCTCCTCTAGCTGTTTTCTGCCTAATCCTCCTTCAGATTCCTCTCCCCTAAGATGAAAGTTAAAAATCCTTAATAGCCAAAAAAGGCCTTGAACCACGTGTCCTTTACCAGTCTTTCCAGCCTCATCTTACTCTACCTTGCTTCTCATTTACTATGCTTTAGCCTCTTGTTTCTCACATGTGACAGCCCTCTTTGTTTTTGTTTTGTTTTTTGGTACTGGGGATAGAACTCAGAACCTTGTGCTTGTGAAGCAGGTGCGGTGCCACTGAGCTAAATCCCTAGCCTGTGACAGCCCTCTTTGCATGCATCCTCTCCCGCTATGTCCACACAAATAATTTGCCTTCATGGTCTCAGCCTAAATCTTACATTGTGGCGATGGTATAGTGATTAAAAATCTGGACTTCTGATTAAATTAACCTAGTTCAAGCCTTAGTTTCCATATCTGTAAAGTGGGGCTATATTTACTTCAATAGGGTTGTTGAAAGACTCAAGTGAGAGTAAGAGTTTAGTCGGGTATTTGACTTACATCTGTAATTCCAGCACTCTGGGAGAATAAGGCAGGAGGATCACAAGTTCAACCCCAGCCTGGGGAACTTAGCAATTTAGGGAGATCTTCTCTGAAAAAAAAGGACTGGGGATGTAGCTCAGTGTGAATGCCTTGGGTTCAATCCACGGCACTACCAAAAAAAAAAGTTTAAAGTGTTTAATGTAACATAATATAGTAGACAATAAATATTTTTATTGCTTGATAAAGCTAACTGCCTTTAATAGAGTCAAATTCTTGATTTTGACTTTATCACTGTGCTGCAAGCAAGGGGAGATGAGTTCTATTCAGCAGAGTATTTGTCTATACTGTTCCTTCTCTGTGACCCCTTCCCCATTTTTAACACAAATTTGGGTTTGATCATCATTTTTACTATCGCTCTCATTTTTAAACGTAGGCAACATCCAGGATACTTACTATGTAAAAGAACATTAGAAGACCTTCCTGTTCAAGGACTTAAGGGGATAGATGAAGATGATCCTGTTAACTCTGTCCACAGCATGAAACTGACCAAGTTTTCCTTCCAAGTTGATAGGTACAGAAACTTCCTTTTATGATTTAGTTTATTTCCAGTTTTTTTTTCATGCTGACACTGTATCTTTTCACTAAAGGTCTTTACGAGGTTGATACTTATTTTTTAAAAAGCATGTTTGGCCTGGTTTAGTGTTCTTACTTAAGGCCTTTCACTGTAACCAATGTGTTACTCTGTCTTCCAGGTCTTGGAATGCCCAGCTATTATCATTGAATGAAAGAATAAAGAGCTCCAAACTAGAGATTTCTTGTTGTGCTCCATGGTTCCAGGATATTTTACATTTGGAGTCTCCTAAATCTGGTAATCGTGGTACCAGTGTGTCAAGCTGGGTTTTTGTTTCACAGGACATAATGCGGGACCAGTATAATCTTCCACAGAAAGATCATGCCCAGACCAGTGACCCTGGAAGATTCTGGAAAATAATGCACCTCAGTGAACAAGAGGAACCCACAGAACTTAACTGTGTGTCTGTGACAGGATTCACTGCACTGTTTACTTGGGCAGTGGAAATGAGTGACAAGTACACCATTCTCCTCTGGGATTTGGAGACCCAGGGGTTGCAGTGTTTCTCTCTTGGCCAGAAGTGTATTCCTGTAGACAGCAGTGGAGACCAGCAGCTGTGCTTTGTTTTGATGGGTAAGACTGTCTTGTATCAATCAAGTTGAAACACATACTGAGGGCTGTGGTTTCTTAATATATTTTACTTCTGCCCTGGTCCCTACACTTGGCTTCTTTTCCCTTGAGGTGGTAATCATCCATGGATGATATCTGGTCTTCGTCTTGGTAGCATTGTCTCATATTTTGATATTTAATTAAGATCATTTCTCTCCAGCTAAATGCTAAGTTTAAGAGTAATGAAGGCGACTGGGGATGTAGCTCAGCTCCGGTGCACCTACCTGGCAAGCATTCAATCCCTGGTACTGGGGAGAAAAAGAGTAATGAAAATTAAAATTTTAACCCAGAGAATCTTAATTTGACTTCAGTTCGTACAATCAGTGGTTGCAAACTGGCTGCTCATGGACCATGCATGAAGTACAAATTTATTTTGTTTAGTTGGTACTATCTAGATTTGTTTAAAAGAATTAGAAGATTTTACACAAAATCTAGATTTCCAGGTATTACTGATCTAACAATACTAGGCTAGTATTCCTGCACAGGAACTTAAAAGTTGAACCTAAATTTCAATTGTTTTTTACGATGGGGCATTTTATTTCTGTTTATCTTGCACTCTACTTACTACCTCATGGCCCATAGGTGTTTTGATGTGTCACATATGCTTCATTGAGCACTTATCCTGTAACTTAGAAGGGTTGTGATTGAACTGTTTCTTCTTCAGTACTCAAATTTTGGTAATCATGTATTTGTGTGTCAGGAATATGATTTTTTTTTTTTGGTACCAGGGATCAAATTCTGGTCCTTGCACTCACAGAGCAGGCAGCAACACCACTGAGCTAAATACCCAGCCCAGGAGGATGCTATTTTATTTTTGTTTTGTTTTTTATTTTTTTGTTTTTGGTACTGGCGATCGAACTCGGGTCCTTGCGCTTGCGCAGCACATGGCGAAACCACTGAGCTAAATCCCCAGCAAGGATGCTATTTTATTATAGTAAACTATAAACCTAACATCACTGTAAATAATTAAAGGTTCCAGGTATCAGTTGTACAAGATAATTTAAGATAGAAATGTGAAATTCAGTGCTGTTTCATAGGATGCATTTTTTTGTTGCTGCTTTTTGTGGTACTAGAGTTTGAACCCAGGGCCTCACTTAAGCTGTGTGAGCACTCTGCCCCTGAGCTACATCTCAAGCCCCACTTCATATAAGAATTTGCTTGTGATTATTATTTTAAAAATAAAAATCTTGAAAACATTAAAAAACCATGAGTTTAAAGTCATAATACATGATATCCAGTAAATATATTTATAACTACAATACTGAAGTTTTAAATAATTAGAGATTCCTAGTTCTAAAACCTGTCCTAGTAATTTATGAAATCTAATTTTTATTTTTCCTGTAGAAAATGGACTCTCTTTGATTTTGTTTGGTTTGACTCAAGAGGAATTTTTAAACAGACTAATGATCCATGGAAGTGCCAGCATTGTGGACACTCTTTGTCATCTCAACGGGTGGGGGAGGTGCTCAATTCCCGTACATGCACTAGAGGTAACAGAATTAAATGTCTGTAGAACTTTACTTGCTGACACTTACTCTTTTTTTGAATGAGGATCTGAGAGAATTCATTTAGCCTAGCAGCAAAAAGAACTAATCTTTACCCATTCATTTGCTCTGGTCTGTTTCCTTTCTCTAACTGCTTAGTAGTTTACCCTTTTTGATTTTAAAAGATAAGAGATATGATAGGCTGGGGATTTAGCTCAGTGGTTCCACTGCCTGCCTGAAAGCACAAGGTCCCGAGTTGATCCCTGGTACCAAAAACAAAAAAGATAAGAGGTGATAAGAGATTACAGCCAGGCATAGTAGTGCACACCTATAATTCCAGCACTACAGGACTGCTGCAGATTCAAGGCCAACCTGAGCTACATAGTGAGTCCAAGGCCAGCCTGAATTACACGTGAGACCCTATCTCAAAAAAAAAAACCAAAAAACCCCAAAAAACTAAAAGTGAAAGCAAGCTCTGGAAAGCTTGAGTTTCTGTTTTGCTACTTGTTTCCTTATCCAGCTTTAGAAAATATAACCTGAGTTTATATAACATTTTATAATTCACACATACTCATATTTATTATCAATTTTTGTCCTAAAAACAAAATTGCATGTGATAAATTGGGTAGTTTTATTGTCTTCATTTAATAGATGAGGAATCTTGGAGTCAGAATGGTTGAGTGAGTGACCCAAAGCCATAGGAATAAAGACAGACTCTAGATTCAAAGTCAGGACACTTTCTGCCGTGCTACACAGTGCCCAAAAGACAGTAATCTTATGTTCCAAGGGTTTTTTAAAATGACAGCTTTTATGAGCTATAAATAATGTATATACCATAAAATTCAACCTTTTAAACTTTACAATTTTGTGCTTTTTAGTATATTCAGAATTGTCCAGCCAGCACCAGTAATTCCAAAACATTTTCATCACCCCAAAAAGAAACCCCATACCCATTAGCTTTTTTTTTTTTTTAAGTGCAGGCTGCCCTTGAACTCACAGTGATCCTCCTGCCTCAGCCTCCTCAGTGTTGGGATTACAAGCATGTGCCACCAAGCTTGGCTCCCATTAGCATTTATTTTCTATTTATTCCTCACTGCCCCCAAGTCCCAAACCCTAATCTAATTACTGACTCTAGTTTTTCCTATTCCATACTTTTCGTATATATGGAATTATGTTTTCAAGGTTCACCTGTGTTCTAGAATGTAGCATCTAGATTCACCAACTGTTAATATTTTACCACATTTGTTTTGTGTGTACTTTTTTCAATCCAGCTATATCATTTGCTATGTTGCTTCCAAGCTTTAGCTATTATGAGTTGTATTGCTATAAACATAAGTTAGTATGTATCACTGTAATGTGCTGTCTTTAACTCTTTGAAGAAGATCCCTACAAGAGGAATAGCTCGGTCAAATAGGATTTCTGTGTTTTGTTTTGTTTGTCTGTTTGTTTTTTGTTACTGGGGATCGAACTCGGTCCTTGGGTCCTTGCGCTTGTGAGGCAGGTGGCAGAACCACTGAGCTATTTGTTTTGTTTTTTGAGACAGGATCTCACTATGTAGTTCAGGCTGTCCTTGAGCTCACTATGTAGCCCAGGCTGGCCTCAAACTTACTGCAGTCCTGCCTCAGCCTCCCAAGTGCTGGGATTACAGGTATGTGCTACCATGCCTGGATGATTTCTTGATGATAGCCATTCTTTCTAGAGTAAAGTGGAATCTCAGTGTTGTTTTTATTTGCATTTCTCTCGTGATGATGAACATTTCTTCATGTATTGGCCATTTGTACTTCTGAGAAGTGTCTATTATTTCACTTGCACATTTTTTTATTGAGTCTTATTTTGAGGTCTGTATAGTTTTTGAGATTTTAATATATTCTAGATGTCAGTCCTGTGTTGGAGGAGTAGCTGGCAAAATTGTTCTCCAATTCTGTAGGTTGTCTCTTTACCTCTGTTGTTTCCTTTGCTGTGCAGAAGTTTTTTTTTTTAATTTAATGTAATCCCATTTGTTGGTTCTTCATGTTATTTTTTGTGCAGTTGGGGTTCTGTTCCAAAAGTCCTTGCCTATGCCTGTGTCTTCAAGAGTTTTAACGTATTTTATCTTCTAACAGATCAAGTATTTCAGTTTTAATATTTAGATCTTTGATCCATTTTGATTTTAGTTTGGTACATGGTGAGAGATACGGATATAGATTCAATCTCCTGCATGTGGATAGCCAGTTTTCCTAGTACCATTTATTAAAGAGGCTATTTTTCTTCATGTTTTTGGCCCTTTTGTCTAATATCAAATGACTTAATGTGTCTGAGGTTGTTTCTTCATCTTCTGTTCCGGTGATCCACATGTCTGTTTGGTGCCAGTATCACGCTGTTTTTTATCACTGTAGCTTTGAAGTATAACTTGAAGTCTGGGATTGTGATGCCTCTTGTTTTGCTCTTGTTGCCCAGGATTGCTTTTGCTATTCTGGGTCTCTTCTGGTTTCATATGAATTTTAGGATTATTTGTTCTAGTTCTGTTGGTATTTTGATTAGGATTGCATTAAAAAAATATATATATATGTATATATATATATATATGTGTGTGTATATATATATATATACACACATATATATATATATATGAGTTTTAGCAGTACAGCCATTTTAACAATGTTGGTTCTGCCTATCCAGGAACAGGGGATAGTTTTCCATTTTTTGATGTCCTCTTTGATCTTTTTCAGAGTACTGTAGTTTTTGTTGTAGAGATATTTCACTTACTCAAGTTAGATTGTCATTTGCCTTAGTATTTAATTTTTCTTGATGCTCTTGTGAATGGCATTGTTTTCCTTATGTCTTAGGGAGTTCGTTAAAGGTTTACAGGAACGCGTTGACTTTTGTATTTTGCTACATGCTGAATTTGATTATAAATTCTAGGAGTCTTTTGGTAGAATTTTTTCTGTCTTCTATGTAGAGGATCATGTCATCTGCAAATAATGATATTTTGATGTCTTCTCAAACATATTCCTTCTATTTTTTAATTAAAAAAATTTTTTTTGTATATCCTTTTATTGGTACATTTTAGGTGTACATTATAATGACATTCATCATCGGAGATATGCACCTTTACATACTCTGTCTCTTGGTTCTTATTTTTTTTTCCCCCTTCCCCTGTCCTCCCTTCAACCCCTCCATCCCTCCCTATTTACAAAGACTGTTTTCTTTTTTTCATTTTCTCATATTAATTCATTCCCTTCTTTCCTTTCCCCTACCCCTCCCACTTCCCCTTCCCCTTTCCCCCTTTTCTTCCTATTTTCACATTATCTATTGTACCTTTTAGTCCTGATTTACACTTTCAGTTTCTCACACTAGAGAAACTATTTGGTATTTGCACGTGTGTGTCCTATTATTTCATTTAAGAGTATCACCTCAATGTGCATCCATTGAACTATAAATGTCTCTGATTTCTGGTTTTTGATGGCTGAGTAGTACTCCATTTTATAAAAAGAACACATTTTCTTGATCCAGTCTCTAGTTGATGGGCATTTGGGCTGTTTCCAAGTTTTAGCTATTACAAACTGTGCTGCTGTGAACATGGGTGCACATATATCACTGTGGTATGATTCTTTCAATAGCCGGGTCAAATGGGACTTCCAGTCCTCATTCTTTTAGGTATCTCCATACTGATTTCCACAGTCGTTGCACCAGTCTACACTCCCATCAGCAGTGGAGCAATGTTCCTTTTTCCCCACATCCCCACCAGCATTTGTTATTGGTTGATTTCATGATAGCAGCCATTCTTTCTGG